ACAGAAATCTCCATTAAAATTAATTTAAATAATATTGCATTAATTAAATATGTACATAAAAATATGATACAAAGCGTTTTGTCATGTCAATTGTGCACATAATTTAGAATTCAAGAGTTTATTTGCAAAAACAGTTAACTCTGTTTTTATAAATTCTCATAAAGCATGTTTTTTATTGTGTTAGCATGTTAATATTGTGTTAGTTAGCTGTATTTTTTTTTTGTTATTATTATATTTAATCAAAACAACCCAACTGCAGTTTTTATTACAGATATTAATTGGAATGCAGGATTAAAAAAAGCATGATTTTTGAACATTTTTAAAAACGGAGTTATCTGTTTTTGCAAATGAACTCTTCAATTGTAGTTATTAATATGAACATCTGTTTGCGTTCATTTTTTAACATTCTATATGTTCTTTCTGATTACATTTGTTACAATTATGAAAAAGGTATATAATACACACAAAAAGGCAAGTTAATAACATTAACACAATTAAACAGCACAAACAAGGATTTATATTTTTTCTACGTTTGTAAGTCAGTCTGAATTTTAAAAAAAATGCAAATATATATATATTGGAAAAATTATACATGGAATGTATTCACTAGCTACTATTCAGCTCAAGACAGTGAAGATAAAAATAAAACAAAACATTTTAATATAATATGTATGCACATTATTAAACTTAAATTAAAATTACATTTCATTTTTGATTACAGTGTATTTTAATGAAGTAATTGAACTTTATTTGGACAGTATCCTCTATAATCAGTAGGGCTGTGAATCTTTGGGTAGACAGCGTTTCGATTCGATTCACGATTCATAGGTTTTCGATTCGACTCAAGAACGATTTTTGCAAATTTAGAACGATTCAATTAGATTCGATTCACAATTAAATTCGATTCGATTATAACGATTCGATTCTGCATTCTTTAAGTGCATTCACAGGATTATCTAAATGCTTCCGCTAAATTCTTTAAATGCTTAGTCAGGGGGCAAATTACACAGCAGCCTTTATGGTTAGAGAAAAAAACAACACTTTTGTCCATTGTTAGATGCTAGTTTAATGATGCTATGGCATGACATGGCATACATAAAAATGTATGTAAGCCAAGATTTTTAAAAAAGAGCTTTAAAAGTATTATGTATAGGCTAACATTTTGTCACACCAGGGGCGTAGCCACCATTTCAGAAGTGACAGAAATGTCAAATACAATAATTTTATGTATGTATTATTATAATAATTATTATTATTTTTTACAAGGAATTATTTTCTTATCTATTACTTTGAATTTGCTATAAGAAATCAAATACACTGCTGAACAATAATCAATCATTTGTAATCCATAATTTTTTTAATGATTGTTTTATATACTACAAACAATTATTTCAACTTTCTGCACAGAATAAGGTAAAAAATATACTTTATAGTTTCTGTACTGTAATAAATGATATGTCAATTAGCACTGCATCATTCATAAATTGTATTTATTTATTGTGTTTATTTGTCTAATGTCACGGAAGCAGCTCAGGGCGGATGACGGATGAGGTCGGCTTTGCGCCGCTCAGAAGTGACGAACGCGGAAGCGCAGCAGAGAGATCAAAACAAAACAACGGTCACTAATTAAAAGTGCAAAACGAGGATTTGTAAAGAAGAATGTCGGAGGATTTCAATATAAGCCAAGAGGAGACTGGTTTTTCTTTGCTGAAGTAAGGAAACTTTGCTTCCTTTGCTCCGGTTAACAAACGTTGGTTTCACAAGACTCACCTGCGCATGCACAACGCTGACCTCATACTTCATCCTCCCGGAGCTGCTTCCGTGTACAACTGTTGGTGCAAGCTACATTAAAGTGATTATTATGTTTTGAATATGGATATTTTTCTTACAAAAATGCATCGATTCGCTACAGGAGGCCTCTGTTTACCCCCCGAAGCCGTGTGAGACACTTTTTCTTATGGATGGGCGCTTTTTATTTAACTTCTTTTGGACTGATGCACTGCAACACCCACTGAGTGCCATTAAACAGCTCGAAAGATCAAAGACAATTTTTAATATAACTCCGACTGGATTCGTCTGAAAGAAGAAAGTCATATACACCTAGGATGACTTGAGGGTGAGTAATTTATGGGCTAATTTTCATTTTTGGGTGAACTAACCCTTTAAA